ATATTATAATAAGAAATACTCATGATAGTAATATTAAAATTGAAAGTGATATTAATAGTGATGTTACAATAGAAAATAGTGAAAATATCGCACTTGATGGAGAATATGAGCACTATGGAACTATTCAATTCATTAATTGTAAGAGTAATAAAGAAACTCTATTTAATAATCAAGATAATAGATCAAAAATTAGATGTGCTAGATCAATATCAATTAATAAATGTGAGAATATTAATTTTAAAATTGATAAAATTAAAAAGTCAATAGAAGTTATTGATAGTAAAGTAAGTATTATGATGATACCAAAAGATAATGAACTAAACGGTGACACAATACATATTGAAAACTCTGAGTTATATAATTTTGGCTTATATGTATCATGGAAAAAAGCAATTTTAATTAATAGTACTGAAATTCATAAGATCGTTCCACACTGTAAAGAAGAGCTTGTAATGAAAAGAGTAAATGACACACAATTAATGTTAGACCAATCTTTGAAGAAAGTTGAAATGGAAGAATGTAGTGGAATTGATATTAAGGATGATGTTAAAGGAAAAGAAGTTAAAATGGTAAGATGTCATAATATGAAGATAATTGATACATCAAATTCAATCAACCAGATTGAATGTGATAATATTGAAGTAATAACAGAACAACAAAATGAAATGATGAGAGGATTTGGAATGATGGGAGGATTTATTCATAATAATATGCCAATGAGAGGATTTGGAAATGGTAATAATATGCCAATGGGAAGATTTATTCCTAATAATATGCCAATGGGAGGATTTGTTCCTGATAATATGCCAATGGGGGATGATTTGGCGATGGATTCGGTATTTAGTGAAGAAAGTAATGATGATGAATAACTTGATTCATTTTTGATAAATTTGATTGATTAAAATAAAAGATTAAACAAACAATAAACAATGTTATGATTGGCGAATGATAAATGATATTCAATAAATAAAATCAAATTTAAAATAACTCTTCATCAATAATTCATTTATTGATATAATAAGTTAAACATAATAAAGTTTATCATCACACAAAATACAATTTCATTATTAATGTGTATACACTTAT